TTTAATTTTCATATATGATAMGTAAATACAAGTTTTGAATGTAATAGATTTACAAACCTGTTTCGATTTCTTCTCTTTAACCAAACTCAAACGAGGGTATCGATGGGAGACAGTTTCCCTATAAACCTGAATCACAGTTCGAGTTTGTGGAGCTAGTCGAAGCTCATCTTTTCCATTAAAATTTCTCCCTTGAATTCAAAATTCATGATTCATATCTAACCATCTACGTGCCCCCATATATGACATCCTACCATGAGAGAACTTAGCATCTGTGTCATCCAAACATATGGGACATGCCTTGTACCATTTCGTCTGAATACCACCTAACATTCCCAACCCTGGAAAATCAATAATAGTCCACATCACTGCAGCTTTCATCATAAAGTACTCTTCCCCGTATCGATCCCATGTCCTAAAACCAGTCTCCCAAAGAATTTTGAGGTCATCAATCAGTGGTCTCATAAACAAATTGAGACATTTCCCTRGGGATTTTGGTCCGGATATCCACATCGTTAGAATATTAAATTACTTTTGCATGCACATTGAAGGAGGTAAGTTGTATGGAATCACAACAATTGGCCAAAGGCTATATGGAGTAGCAGAAGCCCCGAAAGGACTAAACCCATCAGTCGATAAAGCGAGACGAACGTTTCTAAGTTCACTCGCAAATTGAGGATATGACCTATTATGTGTCAAGGAGTACAAATCTATTTAAAACATTTACTTGTCAAAAAATATAACCATATTAAAAGAATTTGCATGTCAAACAAGTATATTAAAAACATTTACTATCAAAATCTTTCCATGCTTCACCATCAACTGGGACGTTTCCCTTTGACCATGCCATCTCATATGATCTGCAATATATTTTGACATGTACAAACGTTGCAACCTCGGTGTCAGAGGAAAGTAACGAATAGTCTTCATCGGTACTTTGTTATCGACATCGTCATATCTTGGCAATCCACATACGGGGCACTGGTCATGTATGTCACCTTCTTTATAGTATAATAAACAACCATTTAAACATGCATGGATAAGCTCATACCCCATCCCAACGCCTTTAAGGATCTTTTTCGCCTCTGCATATGATTTAGGAAGCTTGTTTGGAGTGGGCAATAAAGATTTCTGAAACCCCAATTGCTTATCAAATGCCTTAATAGGAATTCCAGTTTCTTCTTTTAGAGAAATTGCTCTTAGAAGGGCACCCAAGTAAGTTTCTATACAATCATCGTACAATGGAGTATTCGTTTCTGCTAGCAGTCGTGAATAGGCATCAATGAATTTGGAAGCAACAATGTCCATATCAGAAACTGGAGTACTCTCATGGGCGATTGATTCACCATCATTGTACCGCTCACGAAACATAAATGCATCTTCCACAAAATTTACAATAGGATTGACATTGTGACTCAAAGACGCTCGATTGCGTATTATATTCAACCTTCGTTGTGATGCAGTAGGTATATTTGTAACTTCACCCTGTTGATCCCACACAGTATAATTTTTCATTATACCAACATCTTTCAAATGCAAAATTATATCTGCCTCATTTTGTAATAACATGTTTCCACTGGCAGTGGCATTTATAATAACATTCCAACTCACTGAATTCTTTTTAGCAAATTCCAAAAATGCATATATTCCAAAAATGTATTTTTCCTCGAATCTTTTTAAATTCATCCAACTTTTGTCCACATTTTATGTCATATCTATATGTGAAAAATAAATGCATGCATATAGTAAGAGCTATAGATATTTTTAGACAGGTAGTAATCCAAATTTACATGAGATAAACATGAAATAACTACAAAATACGATAATAATTACCTAATAATCTTTAAATGGCTTTTGATGATGAATACAACATTTGTTGGAAGACAAAACTAGCCAATATACTCCAAATCACGTCCCAAGCCCTTAGAAACAAAATGTTGGAAATGAAGATTAGATGCTGGAAATGGGGGAACTACAAATATTTATAGTTGATTTCATCTTAGGCAACATAGAAACAAGAATATATGTTGCCTAAGACAGATCTAAAGCAACAAACACAATAGATTATATGTTGCATAAGTAAATGTGATGGATTTATCATACAATGCCAATTGTCAACCTTAAAACTTATGTCAATCTTAAAACCTTCAACTACCGTGAGTTATTATGTTTTTAAGCTTAGGCAACATAAAAACAATAGTATATGTTGCCTAAGTAAATTATGATAAATCTTTTGTACAATGTCAGTTGTCACCTTGGAAGCATCAATTTGTTTACCTTAGGTTAAGAATATATGTTGCCTAAGTAAATTGGGTTGAATTTATAATTTTTACCTTAGGCAACATATAAATAGAAATATATGTTGCCTAAGTAAACTTTGTTGGATTTATGTTTTTTACCTTAGGCAACATAGTATAACAATATATGTTGACTAAGTAAATTTTGACGGATTTCAAAAAAATATGAGTGTCCAACATTGAACTAAGGCAACGTAGGTTAATATGTTGCCTAGGATACATGCAGGCAACATAGAATTATTTATATGTTGCCTAAGGTCTCACTTAGGGAACATAGAACCATATGTTGCATTAGAGGAAACTTAGGCAACATAAAATAGTCTTTGTTGTCTTAGCGTATCTTAAGCAATATAAGCAATTTACATTTGTTGTCCAAGACAACATTTGGTGTAGTATGAAGTTTCTTTCTTTTCTATGTTGTCTCGATTTACGTGCCGCTTTGATGTTTAATCATATATATGTTTTTAGCTGCTATATTACGTTTGTGGATTGGCATGAATCATTAAAAATGCAATACACAATATTTAGATCTTGTTAATCTGCATTTAGTGCATCGAGTCAGTTTGTACTGTGGTTTGTTGTTATCAGTTTGAGATTGTAAATCACTTTGGTAATACAATCGATACTGTAACTTTGATCAACCCTACAAAACAATATATGACATATGCGTTTTGATTCTCAATATTTAATTTATGATTCGATATATTGGTACTTGAATGCGTATTCATAGTTATTTGGATTAATTGGAATATGAAGATCCTAAATCTATTGGTATCTCGCGACCATGCCAAAGACAATATTTTTATCGTGTGAATGTTTTGGTTAGACTTTTATTATAATAATTGTCGAATTAATCGTATTTATTGTAATGCAAATAGTGTAACTTGATTGAACAAATATATGAAACTATTAAATTGATTAAACATTTGGGACCCACATTGAATGCGGAGCCATTCGTTGAAGATAAAAGTATATCGAACCCATATGAAGTTTTACCATGAGCAGATTGTAAAAATTGGATTCAGTTGTCAACTGTCCCTATTCAAACGTTACCTTAAAGTCGCTTTTAACGCATACATATCCACTATCGACGACCTACTTTTCCAAAATGTCCACCCACCGCAAACTAAAATGACATATGACAAGGACCCATGCCAAATAATCAAACGAGTCCTGCGCATGCACATCAAGATGGAATAGAATGTATACATAACTAAGTTGCCTTCTTACTTTTTCAGGCCCTACATGTACTAAACTATTTCATTTCCAAAGTGTTTTCCCAAGACAAAACCAAGAACGAAAAGCAATTAATCTCCTGCTATCAAGAAATATCTAGCATAGGTAGCTTCTGCTTGAAAATTTCTATATTTAGCAATATCACAGGAAATTAACTCCCATTGTATATATAAAAACTCTATGTAACTTTGTTTTATACCCTTTTGAAGATTTTATCATGGCATATAAAAACGATGATTTTCATGAGAATACAGATAAGCTGAATGGAACAATTGAGGACTCTTGAACAAGAGATAGACACTTAACTTAGAGAGGATCGGTCTTTCAATTAATGCCTTCCAATTGGTACTTCAAAGTGATACGTTGTGGCATATCAGGGTCGGTCCTAAGATTTTTGATGCCCTGTGCGAAAATAATAAAAAATCCCCCTAAGCATATTTTTTAAGTCAATGAAACAACGAAACATGCGATTTTTTAAAGAGTTTAGAACTTATTCAAGCTAAGTATCTCATCCCGATGTTGATTTTTATTAATTATAATTAAAAAAAAATACAATGGAGGGGACATAAAAACCAAAACCCCGAATACAAAATATAAAATGATAAATCTTGGATTAAGATCGTGCTTCTTTGTTTTCCTGTTTTCCTTTTTCCAAATTGAAATTAGCAAAATAGAAACTTTATTTTAATACATGAAACTTAAAAGACAAGGAAAACTATAATTAGTTTTTAACTAAAATAGTAAATTGCATCCAAATTATTGTAATAGTAAGCAAAAAGTAAAACTTAAAAGTTACAGGTCTAACGACTAAAGGCTAAGTGCTTATCTGTTAACAACTTAATAAGTTTAATGGAACTAACAGCTTATTCACTCAACTATGCATGACTGTTTCGTAGTAGCTTAATGATATAGAAAGTGACTTATCCAGTAAGCTTCTAGGGGGAGCTTTATGGAAAGCCAAATTTTTTTCCAAACATATCCCTTCCAACTAAAAAAAACATTCCTTACATCTGTGATAAAACCCTCTCAAACAAAAAAATTTCCAACTTATACAAACAGATTAATTCATACAAACAACTTTATTCACACCGACAACTTTATACAAACAAAATTTTTTCCAATTTTATTAAACAATGTGCATTCAATATTCATCACTACTAGGCCTTGAGCCCTGTTTTTATAGTTAAAGCTCAGTTGTCCAATTCTCAAATTATTAAACTCAACACCAACAATAAATGACAATTTAATGCCCCTTTAAACTCTGATGCCCTGTACGACCGCACGGCTGTGGCGTATCTTACATCATTACTGTCTTGCAATTAATGTCACATGAGCTGATGTGGACTTCAGTGTTACAATTACAAAAATGATGTGACGATCCACTATGTAATATCACTTCTCTTTCAGAACGTCATATCAGTTATACAATTATTCTTAACACCATAGAAATGTAATTCATTCTTGTACAATATTGACTACATAAAACAATATTAAATGAGTTATCCAAATGAGATTTTACACTTTCTTAATCTTGATATATGGAAATTATAGGTAGTAAATGAAACAAACTCTCAACATATGCTTTAATGTTCATAGCATCAAGACATGATAGACGTTACCCATGTATAAGCTTCCAAACATATTCTAGAACATGTGTATACCTAGTTGTATCAGAGTTTAACAGCTAGATTTATCGAGGTTGGACTTCAGTTATGGGTGAAACATCAGTAGGCCAAACATTCGTCTTACATATACTGTTATCTGATTCCAGCATTTGTGAGGGCAGATCATGTCTAACTCTACTACCAGATACAAATGGAGGATTTTGAGGCAAAGGTAAAGCAACCGAGTAACTGTTGAGCATGAGGACTATAGAAGCCATGGATGGCCTTAATTCAGCATCTTCTTGAACACACAATAAGGCGATATTGATGCAACGTAAGACTTCATTTTTCAAGCTAGAGTTCACCAAATTTGAATCCAGTATATCCATTGGTGATCCATTCTTCCATCTATTCCAAGTCTGAGAAGAATACATCCAATTAAGTAGGTTAACAAAATAGATAAGATGACACTTAATTAGCCTAACTATGTAATGGTTGTACTCACATGGCAAAGAAGATCAATATAATCAGATTGAAAGAGCCCTGAGTTTCTCTTTCCACTGATGATCTCAAGAACCAGTACACCAAAACTGAACACATCGGACCTCACTGAGAAGTTTCCATGCATTGCATACTCTGGCGACATGTACCCACTATCAAAAGAAAACACAACGTTAAAAGCATAAATATACTGATGATAAGTACGCTATTTGAAGGGCAACTACATGTAGAATAATATTCTTTTTAAGTTCCATATAGAGAAACTTACAAAGTTCCAACAATTCTGTTTGTTTTTGCTTGTGTTTCATTTCCGCAAAAAATTCTTGCGGTGCCAAAATCCGAAATTCTTGGGTTCATGTCTTCATCTAACAATATATTACTAGCTTTGAGATCCCGATGAATAATTCTCAATCTAGAATCTTCATGTAGATACAACATCCCTCTAGCTATTCCTCCGATTATTTTATAACGCGCTGACCAATCCAGTTGTGCTTGTTTTGTCGGATCTATATATAAGTCAGTGCTGAATGAACTTCAAAACAGATAAGACTGTATAAACGTATGCAATATAAGATCAAGTAACTATATGTTCAATCCAACTCCATAATCCAGTTGTGCTTGTTTTGTCTAGATCTATATATGAGTTTCTGGATCACTTCATAAGAAATTAATGCAAAAAAGTCTTGTTTTAGAAATTTAGAAGGTACGGAGGCTAACCAAATAGAAAGTAATCAAGACTCTTGTTGGGGACGTATTCATAGATGAGGATCTTCTCCTCAGCTTCAAGGCAAAATCCTAAAAGTCTCACGAGATTTCTGTGTTGAAGCTTGGCTAGTAATACAACCTCATTCTTGAACTCCAATGCGCCTTGTCCCGAGACTTTAGATAACCTCTTCACAGCTATTTCTCGTCCATCAGGAAGAACTCCCTATCAAAAGATAACATTTACGAACACGTAAAAAAGATACCATCAACATCGTTTTGGTTGTATGTTGAACATCTCTTATTCAGTAAAAGATAAGAAGATTTCTATTTCGTACCTTGTATACTGCACCAAACCCACCTTCACCTATTTTATTATCTACTGAGAAGTTGTTTGTAGCTGCCTCAATTGCATCCAATTCGAATTGTAGAGATTGTTCAGTTATAATTTCACTCTTATCTATATTAATACAAGAAGGAAAAATAATATAAATGCAGTGTTTCCTGAAAATCTTTACTAGCCCTGTTCAACATTTTCGAAGATGCCGAGGGAAATTTCTTTTGGCATCAAGCACGTTCTAGATTCATTTTAAAGAAAATGTTATTAACTTTCTTGAAAATGGATACTTTGAATCAAGTGTAAGGTGTTGATTTGAATTACTTTGGAAACAACAGGTACTCTGATGAACCAAGAGTTTACTCAAATTATGTACCAGAAAGTTATTTGACAATTTGTACATACCACTTTCATCATTCAGTTCTTTGGACATGGCGCGTCGTCGTGGTTTCTTCTTTACTAACATATGGTATATGCCAGCTATCACAACAAGAGCACCAACTGCACCAACAATGGCTGCGATTATAGTTGTTGAGATTTTCTTTTTACCTGCATGTTTGGAGGATGAACTTTTGAGATTTGTTCCTGTTTTCCTTGGATTTGAGCAAAAAGAAATCAACTTTGTCAAAATATATTCCCCTTTTTTCATTTACCATGGCACTTCTGACAATTAAATGTACAACTTTTTAGTTTTTAGAATCTGGTAAAACTGTATGGAAAATCTGTCAAGGTGAACATATTTCTTTCAAGAACACTAATGAACAGATCATATTACAAAAAAGAAGCATGAATTTGATATCAAACCTGATAAATCGTCTGATGAGGCTGCTGAGACTTGTAAGAACTTATAAGTCTCGAATCTAACATTGCAACTTCGGGTCAGCACTCGCGCTCCTCTTGTCGGATAACATAACTGTAACAGGCGATGAATACTCTCTCCAACGCACCGATTACAATCAGAAGCTGATAGATAAGGTATGCACTCAACATATCCATAAACCTTTGCGTTATTATTGTAGCTTAACTCATTATATGCAATCTTCTCTTTTGGATGAGTTGGAGCCAAGGATGCTAATGGATCCATCAAACTCCTAACAGTTTCCCAAAACTGAGTTTGCTCTGAGGTATCTTGAGAAATATTGTAGTCGCTGCACGCGTACTTGAAATTTGATGAGTTCATCAAGTCCAGTGAGTAATTGGCATAGCGTAACATGCAGTTATCCTTCCACACCACCGCCTCTTTTGAGAATGGGCATAAGTTATTGATATCGTCACGGGCTTTAAGCACACAGTTACGACAATCGTTTGGAAGAATGTCGGTCCGACAAAGGTAGAGGCCATAGGCAACGTCCTGATGGCCGTTTCCAGCACTCTTGTTAAAGAACTTGCAGTTATTAACGGCGTCATTCGAAGCGAGTGATTGGAGGACTTGGATGAGATTTGAAAAGTAAGTGGTGTTGTTTGCGTGGCTGGTGGTGTTGAGCCCGCAGTCCTGTGTTCGATATTCAACAGCTGTGGCGGTCAAGATCAAAACCGGAATCCAAAGCAAAAGAAGGGAAAGCAGCATAGTTTCAGGCGCAATGAAAGGCTTTTCTGAGAATTTTGGTTTGCTTAAATTTTAAAATGATTGCAAAAGAACGCGTCACCACGTTTTATGAATGTTCTAAAATGCTAATTTGATAAAAAAAAATTGATTGCCAAAAGGGAAAATTGCATCAAAATGAAACCAACCTTCACCTTATTTTTATTTTGAGGAATCAATTTTCAAAATTGTTATTTAGGAGTCTCTATCAAACTTTTTGTTTATTTAAGGGTCTGATTGACCATTTGACCCGTTAATGCTGACATCATCCAAATCTTTTGACAACTAAGATATTTCACGTCATATTAATTTTTTTATTTTAAAACTAATATTTCACGTCATATTTAAAATTGTTAATAATTATAAAAAAATAACTAAAATTCGTTTTTTTTTTCAAAAATTATTGTAATAAAATAAATTTTCATTTCAAATCTCGTTTTTAAAAAAAAAATTAGATATGAAATTGAAGATTTTTTCAAAAATGGATTTTACTACAATAAATTTTTGGAAAAAAAAAACGAATTTTAGTTATTTTTCTATAATTATTTTGCAATTTTAAATATGACGTGGAATATTAGTTTTAAAATAAAAAATTAATATGACGTGGAATATCTTAGTTGACAAAAGATCTGAATGATGTCAGTATTACATGTCAACATATCAACTAGACCCTTAAATAAACAAAAAGTTTGATAGAGAACCCTAAATGACAATTTTGAAAGTTGGTTCTCCAAAATAGAAATCAGGTGGAAGTTGGTTCCATTTTGCTGCAATTTTCCCAAACTAAAATATCTTTAGTTGGATTATATTTTTAAATCTAGTCTAGTTTTTTTAGCTTAACTAGAATTGTGTTCGGTAATGTAGTTGTGATACATTTCGATTTTGACGGCGGTAGCTTGAACTTCCAATCGTACTTTATGTTTTATTTTATTTTGTCTCTCGATTTTATTTTATGTTTTTCTATGGTTTGAAAGAAAAAGAGAGTTTTCAGTTGATTATTAGTTTTATGTCATATTCCGGCATACAAATAGGATTAAGGGGTTGTTTGTTTACCTCTTAATAGTTCTATTAAGAGGCAACCTCTAAATCGTTCTATTAAGAGGCAACCTCTAAATCGTTCCATTAAGAGGCAACCTCTGAATCGTTAAGAGGTGAATCTTGTTTGGCAAAAAAAAAATTGGTTCTTAATGGTTCTAAAACCCTCTGAATGATTTTGTATCATCGGCCTCCCTTAACCATTAAGAGCCCTAATTTCATTGCAAACAATTATCAAACAATTATATTTCATTTTACACTATATCATGAGAAACCTCTTAATCATTCTGACCACTTAATAATTATGCACAAAACCATTCAACAACTGTCAAACAGCCCCAGAATGTTTATCTTGTATTATACATGTTTATTCATTAGTTATTACTTATTTTTATGGAGTACAAAGGTGATATTTAAGACATGGTATACGTGTAAAATAATAAGTTGTAGACTTGATTATATATTTTCTTTAAAGAAATATGAGGTAGGTGTTGTGTAATATAGTAAATATGTAGCTAAGGATATATATATATATATATATATATAGGAGTGATTAAATGCAAACCACTCAATTTGTACAAACCGTGCAAACCGCATTCAACCAATCATAATTTTTCATTTTGTTCATTTTTTTGTAATTATGAGAGGTTGATTAATCATTTTTATTGTGGAGGGTGTTAATCATAAATATTATCATCTTCATTATTTTAATTTTAGAGAAATACATGAAACAATTTCATTAATGTTAGAGAAATACATGAAACAGTTTCATTAAGTATTATATGAAACAATTTCACAACCATATATGAAACAACTTCATCAAAAAAAGTATTATATGAAACAATTTCACAAGATTAAACAATTTCATGAAAAAATTTCATAAGATTAAACAATAAAATCGACAGATGAAGGTGGTTTGCACGGTTTACACAAATGAGGGCGGTTTTCATATGATCACTCCTCTATATATATATATATATATATATATATATATATATATATATATATATATATATATATCCGCCAATTTGAGAATAGTAATATGGATTTCCGAAAACGTTTAAAGCTTCCATTATTATTATTTATAAAATGGACAAAACAGATATATTATAAAGAGTGAATTACACTTGTGGTCTCTATCGTTTGCTCAATTTTTTTTTGGATTTGGTCCTTAAAAAACAAACTATCTATATTGATGGTCTCTAACTTTTTATTTTTATAACACTCATGGTCCTTCCACTTACCATGGTTAAAAACTTTTGTTAGATGGATGCATATACCCTCACATGAGGTCAAATCTGTCATTTAGTTAGATGGATGCATATATCGATCAGGAACCAAACCCCTATCAGCCATTGATGATTTGATCTCAAAAGCTTCGTCAATAAGCCCAGCTCTGACATAATCCTCCAATAAGCACGTTTTATGTTACTAAACTTGGACCACAACTTTTTCCCTCATTTCTACAGAAACCTTTTTGGCCTCACTCACCTTTCCATCTTTACATAGTGCCCTAGTCAATTTAGTGTATAATATAAATAGGGATGGTAATGGGGACGGGAATTGGTCCCCATCTTCACCGGGGAATTTGATCACATCCTCATCTCTGTCCTCAACCGGGAATGGGGATCCTCAACGGGGAAACGGAGATTTTTTTTTCTTGTTTGTGTAAAAAAAAAATTATATCAAATGTGTGAGACACTACACATGTGTAAATCTCATATTTTTCCAATAAACCTAAAATAAAAAGAAATTTAATTTAATACAAAAAATATACATCATTATATAATAATTAACAATGGAAAAAAAATTAATCTAAAAAAATTAACGTCACATGTACCAAAACATATGGAGTAATATCCAAAACCACATATAGTAATATCCAAAATATATTGAAATAGAAATTACCATTTACCGATTTAATAAAAATAAATAATATATAATATAATTTAATAATTTATATATATATATATATATATATATATATACGGGGCGGGGCGTGTGATACCCATCCCCGTCCCCATCCTCGGTTTGAGCCAAACGGGGATCCCCGTCCCCGAGACCCGGTCTAACGGGGAATCCCCGTCCCCGACTGGGGCGGGTGGACCGGGTTCCCCGACGAGTCGAGGCCAATTCCCATGCCTATATATAAACATCAAGAACAATATAACACCCCAACTCCCAGTTGCATAAAATTCATATATTTCATATAACAGGAAATACACCTATTACACATTGGTCTGAATATACAAATTGCTACATACAAAAGTAGCTACAAACTTTTTGCTCAAATAAAGTACATGACTCGAATATAACATATTTTCAAATACATGCACATATTCAATTTTCCAAAAATTCCACAGATGCAAAGCATTAACAATCCCTTCACATCTTTCCCTTTCCTGTACTTTCTACATACACTTGATCTGTAATGCATATTTTTTAAAACAAACTGAGGATTAGATCATAAGGTTTAGTGAGTAATTCCCTTGGTTGCTATTACAGGGTGAAATCACCAAAACACTTTTGGAAAACTAGTATTTGAAAATATAATATGCAATTATCAGTTATTCTAACAAACCTTCATTTTTCGCATCATGTAGATAAACAACTTTATTTTATCGCATCAAACATAATGAGGTACCAAATTTATCGCATCAAACATATATTACACCAACTTGTTGCATCGTATTGATGCGATAACACATTTTTGTCACATCCAGCAGATGCGATAACCCCAACTCGTCGCATCCAGCAGATACGATAAATCCACTTGTCATACCATAAGAATGCGATAAACACTTTTTGTCACATCATACTGATGCGTTATACACCACTTCTCAGTTCTCACGCCACAAGGATGCGATAAAAACAACCCATTTCATCCATCTCAAACTCATCGTATTAAACAAATGCGATAAAAATCAACCCCATCGCATCATAAAGATGCGATAATAATAGCCATGATCAAAAGATCATCATTCCTAGAAATTGATTATGTTCACCCTTATCCCAGTATACCCAACTTCTGATTATGTCACTCTTATTACAAACTATATACTCAGCTCCTGATTATCTCATCTTTATTACAAAATATATCCAGCTCCTGTTTATGCCACCCTTATTACAATTAATCGGTTGATAATAACATATCAAATCCGAATATTATGCTAACAATACCATATAATCATATTTAAAAAAAAACACCCATATATGAACCCTTACGGTTCCATATAAAATATTTCAAATAAAGCTTTGAAATAAAACTGATCTTATATCACAAATAGATGAAGATTTCAAATCAACAACGAAAATCACATGAGAAACATGAAAGCTTTCCTATCCTTCTTCTGATTTACTCGAACCTAGGAACCACAAAGAATTTCACCAACTTTTTCTTATCTCTTTAAAGTTTTTAAAAGGAGATAATGAAAGCACATGTATACACACATATGAATTTAAAAGAAAAGGCCATGGATAATAGATTTTTAAAACCAAGTTTCAAAACACATTCCTCAACTTTCAAACCAATTTTAAAAACAACCCCAAATCTTTCCTTAATAAAACCCGGTTATCAAAAACAATGTGCAACTCAACCATTTTCTCCTGAACCTTCCAAAACAACTTTTTATTATGATATATAAGTAAATTTGTCATGACAAGATTAACATAGGCTAAATCTGGAAAATGTTCACTACTATTAATTCCTAATATAACATGAACAACTTCATTCAACAGGGTTTTGTTCTTATTAGCATCAATAATCATCCAATATACCAGAGACCCAAATTTTAAACCCTCATCCTCCACAAAGAAACTAGGAATTGAATCAATAATATCTGAAGTTGGCTTCCAGGTTTCAATCGTGTGCCCTAATACAACAGTAGAGTCTCTTGACTGACTCGAGTTACAAAGATCCATAACAAGAACTACAAAGGATTTAAATTTTG